ATGGATACCATTCATTCCACTCACTCCATCTTTTCTGTGTCCAGTTAAAAGGCAGTTCATGAGCATCGTCAGGTTCGCTAGTGCAGGTGGCACCGGCGGCTGTGGCCGTTGTTGAAGCCCCTCTTCAGGCTCCGCATCGACAGGCCTCTCCCTCGGTGTGGAGCTGTCAAACTCGACCCTAACGCCGCTTACAGCCAGCCAACTAAAAGTTGTTTTCCGTTCACGTTGTCATTTTTAGACTCCTTTGCTTCTTTGCTTGTGAATCAAAAAGCTGCGAGGCATGGCTGTTTTCGTTTTGCCATATTTTTTATCTCAAAGCCAGAGTAAAAAAAATCAATATGAACATTTCAAATACCGCTCAGGCATCGCCACCGTAACCATAGCAACGTAAGTAGCGTAAAGAATGCAGCGCCGCCACGTACAGATGGCAACACCCAGAAATATTCACAAATATAAAACAAATATTTCAAGAACTTTTATTTACAGAAACTCAACATTTCTAATCTGTGTGACACAAATATGCACAATTGTTTTGGGCTCCCCTATTTATCTCAAAGTCGGCCTTCAGGGGAGCTCCCTCCCTCTTCGGGGGAGCCAAGCTCCCCCTGGCTCCCCCCCCCATTTCGAACAGTGCGTGTATCAGTGCATCCAGTCTTTATGCTAAGCTAAGCTAACCCCATCTCAACCCCCAGCTTTGGACACATTCCATCTTCTCATCTCACTCTCAAAATGGAAGCAAAAAGGCATTTACAAAATGATGGACTACTATTTGAAGTTGAGGTTATTCTCCTCTTTGCAATATACATATGGGGGATGGGGGCTCTTTCCAAAGGTCATACCAGGATACCAGGGTGGGAGGCTGATGGTTAATTCAGATTCAGGAATGTGGATTCAGCCTCCCCATTACGTCCTCTTATTATATATAAGTGGAGCGAGAGCTGCGTTCACATTCTTTGTGATGACGTGTAGCGCGTTCTCACTGATGGACTCAAAGACTGACCTGCACTATTCTGATTTTCATGAATGCAATTTAATCTAAAACAAATCTTATTGTCAGGTGCAATGATGCAGTGTATAGAGCACTGGCTTCATACATGTGGGTAGCTCAGTAGGGGCTTGTGTCCCTGCACGGACCAAACATACTGCTCCAGAGCACATCACCATAGCAACCCCTTCACTCTGACACCTCTCCATTAATGCACGTTTGTGCATGTGGGCATTTGAACTGTAACTTTATTAACAGAGTGAAACCTGAATGTGTTCTCCTTCTCCATGTGTCCCCTGTGGTCAGAGGTGGAGGACGTGGTGAACAGTATTCTGTTCCTGCTCAGTGATAAGAGCAGCATGACGAGCGGGGTCTCTCTGCCTGTGGACGGGGGCTTCCTGGCCTGCTGAGCCAGCACATCGGCCCCTCGCTCAGAGGAGGACAACAAGTATAGCCTTAAAGTCATTTTGTTTAACAAATAAAATACAACCACCCTCAAACCTTTCTACTTCTTTGCGCTTATGTCTATTTAATATTGGCTCATGTTTATTTTCTATTCTTGTAAGTATTATGAACAAGTCTGAGTCTGCTGAGATTGACTGCTTAAGATTTTTTATGATTGAGTTTGGAGGCATTCATTTAAAAAGATAATGGACATTTGACTACAGCTGTATATTAAGGTTAACCCTTCTTTCATGGTGGTGACTTACAGGAATTTCATCATCTTCACATCAAATAAATTCATGTCATTTTGTTTAAAAATGACACATTGTATTGAGTATGTGTTTCCCAACCATGTTCAGGAGACAAAATATGATCATTGCCAGAATTCACTTCAACTCAAAGATACAGCATGTATCATCAGAAATGCCTGTCAAAAGCTGTTTTCTTATTTTCTGGATTTACCAATTAATTAAATGTAATAGATGTTGTAAAGACTTACTATTTCCTTCAGCTCCAGGTTGTGTCTGTTGTAGGGAAGGGTCTTAACATCACATCAGCAACAGAAAAGCAGAAGGAACCAGAAAATGTTTGTTCATTTGGCTTTAAAACGTTTTTAAATAGAAGGTGATTATCAAAGTTGATAAGTTATTTTATTATTGATGGACTAATACAGTGGTTCCCAACCTGGGGGGGGGGGGCCCCAAAGATCGCATTTTTTTTATATAATTGTAACGCAATACATGATTGTCACTAAAAGCCTTGTCTCTAGATTACAATAACATAAAAAATTATTGATTAATTAATTTGAATAAAAATTCAAGTTAGTAGCTATTAAAGGCATAAAAAGACAGCAATGTTTAATTCTTTCTTTAATAGAAATGTTTCTTCTACCCATAAAGTGTCCAAACCAGGCTTGTCTGGATAAGCGCATTTTTAAAACAGTCATTGTCCATGCCGGTTTCAGTTGGATTATTTGTCACAGTTGCTCCGATCAGATCGGTCTCCTCCATTTTGTAGATTATTTACGACTTTTGAATCCACATAAACTCATCGGCAAAATCCGGCTTACTTTGAGCATGTGTTTTAAACAGTTTAATCCCTTTGTGAATTGTTTCCACTTGCGGCGTCCTTTAATTTCTTCATACAGCGGGAATCCAAATGAATTAATCCTGAGTCCAATAACCATCAAAGTCACTCCAATAGTGCTCCTTAATTACGCTTTCATCCTCCTTTAACAAAATACTTCAAATTCATCCAGTTTGTGACAGTAGTTGTAGCATTTTTGAGACTTTGAAACTTTAATTACCGCTGTTGCGCGCCCCCCCCCCTTGTGTGTGTGTGTGGGGGGGGGGGGCGCAACTTCCAACAGGAATCATTTGGGGGGGTTCTTGGGAAAAAAGTTTGGGAATCACTGGACTAATAGATGTAATTGTCTGTCTCATGCTACTTCATACTTCTGCTCCACTGCAATTAGGAAACAAATATGTAATTCTTACTTCAGTTATTTGACATGATGAGTTACTATCACTTTGCATGTTCATATCATTCATTGAAGTTAGCTCCATCTTCACCAGTTGATAGATTAAAACCGTTTTCACATGTTCAATCATTATTCTATAATCCAGAACGTAATATATATTATTCAGAAATGGTCATTCTGCATAATGAAATTATGAATCACTTAAAATGATAGTAAGCCAGGCTACTTTTATCGTGAGCTCATTTGCATGTTTGTTTATTTACCATGTCCTCATTGGTTGTATTTGCACCACTTAGGTTCATTCGGTTGCTTTCATGTACATATTATTACCGGATGTAAAGTGAGGAACAAATGACGACAGACTGCAGAGTGCCTTACATATACATTTGTATTTCGTATACAAAAAATTGAAATATTCCACCACACAGACATGTGAAGTAATAAAAAATAAGACAGACAGTTGGAACAAGTATACAAGTCATCTTACATTACATACATACATGGCCAATGCATCTCATTATACAGCCTCTCCTAAGAATTACAGTGGGTCAAATAACCAGAGAATTTCCATGCAATAGTAGATTTTAGACTTTTTTTGCTGCGTTTCTCATCTACATTTCAACACCTTCAGCTAGCAGGACCACAAAACATGAGTCAACCACAGATTGCTATGCCAACCAAAGACAGCATGACAGATGGGCTGCAGTGCTGCGTCTCCCCGCGGGGGGGAGACAGACACACGCAGGCCGGAACAGAAATGCATTTCATAAAGGCAACACTACAGAGATTGGCCCCTTTATTGTACACTGTTAGCAACACTTCTAACTTCAACACAAGCGACTATAATCCCTTTAGTTTCAATTGTTTTAGTTTCAAGAGCTAAATATTCAGGTACATGTAGATATATATTCATAACACATTCCTTTTTCTAAGGATTATTCTGTACATCGCTAGATGTCGTTAATATCCATTTTTTCTTTCTTTATGTCCACAGATTGTTGAAAGTCTTGTGTATTACTACAATACAATATGAAATAGTACCAAAAACTGGACACTAAAAAACTTGGCTTAAACAATACTGTCTTTATGCACTACCCCCACCAAAGCTGTCTCACTGACACGACGCGTGCTCACTCACACACACACACACAAGTGTTCATTTACACGCCTGTGACGCACTCACCCACACACACACGCACACACACACACAGGAACAGAGAGGAGATTTAAATGATGGGATAAATTAAGACAGAATATTTTAAGACCCATGCAAGCTCCTCCGCCCCCGGAGGCAGGAGTCAGGCAGCGAGGTTGTTCAGCCCCCATGTTTGGCATGCTTGTCTGTCACGTGTTCACAGTTAGATGAAGTTACCCAAAGACACTTGACTCAGATCACATGTTGGTCCAGAGAAAGAAATTCACATTTTATTTTCATCCTAAAAGGACAGCGCAGATCGATGCCGGCAGAGAAAGGTTTGGCTAAGGATGTTTTGTGTCAGATCATTTGACAAAATTATTTCAACTCAAGGTTCACTCTTTTTCCAGAGCCTTCATCCCCTTGGCTTAACTTGTGATTATTAGTTGATAAGATTCAGAAGTTTTAATTTTTGACTTTGGAAATACCAGTCACATCTCAAAGCCGTCTTTTGAGCAAATTAGGTGGCTGCTCAGGCAACAAGGTGAGACAGGAAGCTCCGGAAACACCAATTAAGTGAACCTTGAGGAATTATTTTGTCAAAGTATTAAACACAAGGTCAAGTACGAGACTTTCAACTCAAACGTAAAGTAAGCTTAGGAAGGTGGGTTTGAAGAAATGAGAAAACCAAAAAAAGAGTGATGAGTTCAGAGTTTTTTTTATGCAAGCTAGGTCACTTCCATATTTGACTTCTATAGGAGCATTGTTTATGATGTCATTCCTATCAGTATGCATTACATTGCAATTATTTAAATAATTGCTGAGATGGGCAAGAAACAAAACATGTTCTCCTGTGTAACAGCTCATCTATAGAACAACTGGCCAAGAGTATCTGTGTGGTCATTTAGTGAAATACACTGATTTGACAAAATTCAACATATTAGCGCAAATCTAAAAAATATTTTTTTTTAATTAGATTGTGAAAAACAGGATTAATAATAAGTTGCTTAAAGCACTTAATTGTGTTTTTAACTGTTCACATTGTGTGTTTTTAAAACAAATTTATTTGCGTTTATACTGGTGGAATGAGGCCAAAACTACAAAAATAAAACTGAATTCCCTTTAACTCATCACTCTCAATTCTTCTACCACATTATTTACATTGAAGACACCATGCTCTATTTGTGAGATTGAGTGAATGCAGGCAGTAGGTATCTTGTTTGACTGTCCTAGCAACAGATTTCTGTGTGCATGCCATTTAGTCTCCACATGCTGATCTTGGATCAGGAGCTGAGGGTAACTTCAGACCTGAAGGCGTTTCATAGTACACTTTCTATCTATTCAACACTGCAATAATTCAAGCAAGCATGTCTGAAAAAGAAGAGATGAGGCAGTATGAAGACAGTAAGAGAAACCGTAGTCAGCCCTCATGGCAGCGTGTGTGTTTCTATGAGTACAAAGTATGTGGACAGTCACTGAGAACCTATGAGCCCATTCAGTTATGGTAAAAAAATTGGATTAAATATTGGTCTTGTTGCCAATATCGCTCTGAAAAAACATCAATATAAAGAAAGCAATCTCAGCAGTGCACACTCACTCTCGCTAGTTTCCTCATCCTCTCAGAGAAGTAGTGGTTGTTGTTCATGGTGATGTAGTGTAGTGTTGAAACCCCTCCTCAGAACATGGTGCACCTCTTCCCCCTCTTCTTCACGGGCGGGGGGCAGAGCACGGCTCGGATGGCCTCGTCGAAAACCGTCTTCAGGCCTCGCTGAGTCAGCGCAGAGCACTCCAGGTACTTCACAGCACCTAAAGGAGGAGGAGGGCATGATGGGAAGGATATTTCTCAGTGAGTGAAACTACGTCTGGTGCTTTAAGACAGGTAAAAAGACCTCAATCTACCCTCACCCTGAAACCTCCGGACACCACACCTTTTCCACATTGGAATTGAAGGGATGTGACCACAAATCAGTTTCATGTTACAATAACATCTCATTTATCCAGCGGTTGATTGTGTAGAGAAAAACACCATGAATGCATTCAGGAAAAGATTGAAAATGTGCATTCTTAATGTAGGATTCATTGCATTGCAAAAAAAGGACACAAATCAGGGAGGGGGTGTGGTGCAGGCTGCCCCCGCCCCGCCTCAAGCTTGGGGCTGCATTGCTTTGGTATGCTGGGGAAGTTGATCAACAGTAGGGCAATGAATACAAAAGTATATTTGGCTTTAAACAAAGAAGATGATATGAAGATTAGACTTATTTGTTTTGCTTTTATTTATCTATTATTAAGTAAAGCAAAGACTTACTTGAAAATAATACTACCTCTAAAGCTCATAATAAACATTAAGTATATGATCCATTATTTAGTACTTTGCAGTGTGCAGTGTATCTGGCTATAGTGCCAACACAGAATCTACACCCAAACCAAACTGTGATTTTCTGTGATGGAGCGGTTTTCCTCTGCTTGCAGTCTTTGTGCTAAGCTAGGCTAACCCTGACTTGACTCAGGAACTTCCTGTTCATAAAGGTTAAGTAGGGACTGCAGGGCGGATTCAAACCGGCGTCCACCGCACCAGAACACGTGTCGCCAGCTCATTTTTTATTCCCCATTTAACTCGCTCCCTTTGTTAAAAATGATTTTGTTGCACGGCTTGTATAAATGACTACACACACAGCCTCACCAATCTCTCGGGCCATGGCCAGGCCCTGGGGGTAGGTGATGGGGGACAGTTTCTTGTCCCTCAGCCTCTCGATGGTGTCCTTATCATCTCGCAGATCCAGCTTGGTGCCCACCAGGATGATGGGGGTGTTGGGGCAGTGGTGCCTCACCTCAGGGTACCACTGGGGCCACACACACACACACACACACACACACACACACACACACACACACACACACACACACACACACACACACACACACACACACCAAAGTCAGTGAGAGGGAGGCGAAAGAAAAAACTGTTAGATAAAGTAGAGCAACAAGCGGCGTTCCACGCTGACATTCAACACACAGAGCTGTGGAGCTACAGGAAGCTGCTTGTAATAAATGGAATATGTAGAACACAACATCCTCAGGCAGAGCAGCCTTTATCACATGACCTGATGAGAGGATCCCGTCACACAGACTCTACAGAGGGAGGCTGGACCTTCAGGAAAGTGTGGTTTGATATGAGAGCGTCCCATGATGCTCAGCAGACCAAACCACAGTCAGTCTCCCCCCCCTCTGCAGAGTGTGACCTGTTCAGACCTCGCCCTACAAAACTCTCTGCTGCCTCTCTGGAGAGAGCAGTCAGGGCAGACTGTTCTAAGATGAGGTCTGAACAGGTGGGTAATAAGGGCATAATAAGCCAGGTGGAGCAAAGATGTGCCTCCTTGTGGTCAGACTCGGCATGGAGGGGGGCTTGGTCAGCGTACTGACCTTAGCTCGGACGTTCTCAAAGGAAGCCGGACTGACCAGGGAGAAGCATATCAAGAACACATCCTGGAGAGAATCAGAGACACGGCTAGTTGAGAGGGTGTGTGTTTGTGTGTGAAATTTCACGTTTTTAACATATGTAGGTTCTAAAATGAAATTATGTTTAATATGTTTGATTTATCTTCTGCAGATCAAATTCAGTCTTGTAATGGGATCAGTTGTTTTTTAAATAGATAACCATTCAAGTTAATTTTCAACACTGGTCAACAAGAGTGGTGCATTTGTAATATATCTTTAACTCTAAAGAGTTTACATGATTGGGTTTTGTTAGCCTGTTTAGTCAAGTGCTAATTGACTAACCCTAGCTGTATACATATAGTAACCATTTATTTCTTAATAACAACTAGCCTCTTTGTTCAACATATCATTGTTTAGAGGTGTGTATAGCTCCATTTAGAAATGAAAACATTTAAACTTTAATTAAATGTATTATGTCAACAGATTTCACATAGATGTATTAGGTTAGTTGGAAACAATAATATTAAGTTGTACCTAATCATTTGTATTTAAACTTAATATTATTGCTTTCAACTAACCCAATACAGTTATGGGAAATCTGTTGACATAATACATTTAATTAAAGTCAACTTTTTCCAGTGTGTGCATGTGTGCGTGTGCGTGTGCGTATGTGCTTGTGTGTGCGTGCTCAGGAGGAACGGGTTTGAATACCGTCTGAGGGTAGGACAGAGGTCTGAGCCTATCGTAGTCCTCCTGCCCGGCTGTGTCCCAGAGGCCCAGGTTCACGGGCTTCCCGTCCACCATCACATTGGCAGAGTAGTTGTCAAAGCTGCAGGGAGGCGGACAGTGCAGAGTGAAACACAGGTAGAGAAAGTGTGCTAACAACTAGTTGATCTGTTTTAGAAGAAGTTCTGTTCAGGGAATTGAATATCTCGTATAAAGTGGTGCAGCGATATTTCTGTTAGCAAGGGCTTACTGGACGAAAAGCCAATGGGTTTTTTCCTTTGGTTGCATGACTTCACGTCAACACCGCTAAGCTAAATGCGGCTAATGATCCTTGGATGACGTCTAGGAGTTTAGTCGTTCATTTAGGTGCTTGTCTTAAGAATGGCAATAGCATGTAAAAGCATAAGAGTAATTGAAAATCTCGTAAGCGTGTGTTAACCACAGACCTTCAGATATCTTAGCAAAAACTAATTCATAAAAACATTCACTTTGAGACAGGAAGAGCTAAAATGCAAACTCCTTTCTGGGTTTAGGACTCATTCCTAAAACATTTTGAAGCAGATTTTTGAAACAACCAAATGATTGATGCAGAAATCTCATATGTCTGGTCATTGATCCGTAATATTGCCTAAAACTGCGGTGAACCTGCTCTACTCTAATATCTCCATAGTATGGTATATTTATTTATATATACACACACACACACACACACACACACACACACATATATATGTAGGACAATAAGCTCTTATTACTATGTGCAATATAGTGCCTTTTCATGTGCAATCCACATCTGTACATATTGTGCTCGATCATGTTTAGTATAGTTATTTTAGCTTTTTTATCTTGTTAAGCCTCTCTATTGCTAGCTTTTTAAGGATCGTTTCCTTTATTTTTTGTTGTATTTGTTATTTTATCATTTGCACCTACGGGACCAGGACAAAATAAATGTTGTTGTGCCTTAAAAATGACAATAAAGTTCTTGAATTGAATGATCTATTCATCTTCAATAGCTGCCATAGTATAAACACTATGGAAGGGATGACAAATGTCCACTGTTACTCACACGGTGGGGATGTATTCTCCGGGGAAGGCATTGGTGGTGTAGCTGATCAGCAGACACGTCTTACCCACCGCCCTGAGGAGGGGGGACAGCAGAGGACACATCAGGTTTAATGGGTAACACACTTTCACACACACACACTCATTCTGTGTGTGTGCAGGAGAGTAGAGCAGGCTCCCTTTACTGTGCCACACAGACACTGGCCTACATTCTAGTCGCCTGAGGGACACAGTAGCCCCCTATGATACACCCCCCCCCCCACACACACACCCTCTCCTGCTCTTCAGTACCCCCTCCCCTCCTACACTGCACTGATACAGGGTGCCACACAGATTGATGGAATAGGTATTGGCTGCGTGCTCATGCATGCAGTAAAGGCTGGTTTAGTGTGCATGTTTCCATAAACACAGCAAACGGTGGTGACACACAGCGCCAATGTGTGTGACAGAGCAAGGACACTGATTTTAGGTCAGTGAGTTTTTCTGGGTGGGATGGACAGCAGGACAGAGAAGAATCGAGGACGAGAAATAACAAGACACGATGGTAAAGACATGACGTTTTTATAAATAGGAACTCTGTTGATTTAGCTTCACACTTCCATAATGTGGGAGAAAACTGAGGGACAGATTACCTTCAGTACCACGGTTGGGTCAAGCTAAACAAAATAAACACTAGATCCTACACTTCCCATAATGCAACTGATATGACTGTAAATTCCCCTTTATATTTTTTTCTTTAAATCATTTACTAATTTGCAACATAAAAAACATGAGTCTAATAATGCTTACTGGTTATGTTATGCTTATATTTAAATTATATCAGCTATATTTTTTTTTATCAGTTTCTCACAGTGTTTGGCTCTCCTTACTACAGTTCCCATGAGCCTTGGTTGCTGTTGCCATGGAGAAGGCTGAAATCAGAGCTGTAAGAACATTTTAAACACGTTGATGTTGCAGGTTGGACAAAAACACTACCATACAGTAAATGATCAAAGAAGAATAAATACTCCATAAGTAAATTCTTTAAAAAGGCATTTATGCTTGTATCAGCAGGAACACATATTGTAATCCAAGTTATCGGATGTTTCTTGCTGACAAGGCCCTTTGGAGTCGTGGTTAACACCCATGCTTTAGTTTTTATGTCAACAGGAACCAGATATTCTCTGTTGCACTGATGATTCAGCCAGGAGACTTTAATGTCTGTATAAGACTTGACTCTAATACCTCATTCACACCAACGGTGTTTCAGGGCCGGTTCGGAGCTGGAGCTTGAAAAGCACTGGGTTTTCCTCTTCACACCGCAGCGGAGCAGCCTCTTAGCTCCGGAATCCGGTTTATTTCGAACACCAAAAAATTGTCCGGCCAGAGCAAAAGCACCACATACGTCACGCTTACGTCGAGGCGGGGGCAGGGGCAGGGGCGGGATCAACTCCTGAACAACAACAAAAAGCCGGCGTTTTATCCAGTTTGTACACAACGATGGAGAA